ACATTTTTTACCACTCTCAGGATCGACAAAATTATAGGAATGGTTCATTGTCAGATGTTGGAAGTCTTCATTGCTCAAGCAATTGTAAGACTTCCAACAGTCTGACATGATCGTGGTTCCTGGCAGAATCTATTCCTTGATGCATGCCAGGAGTGTCTTCTCTGTCCGATCCTCGACTGGAACGATGAAAACCTTTTTTGAGTCTCGCTCGTACCCTCCAAAAATCCAATTACCCTTTAGAAGTCGGCCACGATTGTACTTGCGATGTCCAATTTTCGCCTCATCTATTTCAACTGTGCGTCCTGGGCCACCAAGCTTTGTACTATACTTATCTGCCCAGAACACACAGACCTGCAAGTAAAAAAATAATATTAAAATTATTTTTCGACATTAATTATTATACATTTTTTTTTACTATACAGTACAATTATTAACATAAATTAAGATATAATTACCTCTCGGCAAAAATTGGACCAATCTGTAATCGTGGCTGACGCCACGCCAGTCTCATCCATTGTGATATCGTGACGCGGATGTCGAAGCATCAAAAAACATGCTACTATTTTGCAAATAGTAGCGATGTTTAAATAACTTTTATGGAACTAAGTACCGGTTTTCGCACTTTTGTAAAAATCGCATGTTTTGCAGACACGTTTTTTATGTACATTTTTTACATAATATCGTTTTCCACATCGATAAGTTAATGTATTTTTATCAATATTTATATCGTTACCACACTGACTACACTTAATTGTATTTGCTAATACGCCATGCTGAATTAAAAAATCTATTAATTCGCTTTGGCTATACGTTAAATGGGAGAACTCTAATAACCCCAACATTATTGCACGTGTCTGCGACTTCACATATGACTTTAGCGCGTTTCATTTGTTTAATTCTAATTGTTACTTTGCACATTAGTTTCAAATTGGCGCACTGTGCATGCGCGTGCGACCACTGAGCATGCGCATGTGGTCGCAGAGCATGGTCGTAGTCGCTGCATCTCGTCGGTATGACAGGAATCATAACCTAATTCCTGTCAACTTTAACGTTTAATATTTTGCGTCGCGGGGCAGAGCAACACTTTTTTCTGCCAGATTCGGTCGTTTCGTGCAAAAACGCGTCGAATGAGCCTAAATTCATCGCTTTTTGTGCTGCTGTAGCTAAACTGAAGAATTACCCTTTATGGATATGGTTATGCATCTATGCAGGTTTGTCTGAATAGACCTTAAAGCGGAGAGCACACACTTTTGCATAACGCATAGTACGTAAGCATAAGAAAACTGATTGGTCTATAGGCCATCGCACACAAAATGCATAGCTTAACATAAGCGTAGCATAAGACCGCTGGACCAATGAGCATCTTATGTAAATCAATATGGCGACTTTATGCTGGATGCTCATTGGTTTAGCGGTCTTATGCTATGCTTATGCTAAGCTATGCATTTTGTGTGCGATGGCCTTATTTCCTTATGCACATGTGTATGGACCAATCAATTTTCTTATGCTTACGCATTATGCGTTATGCAGAAGTGTGTGCTCCCCGCTTAAAGGTCTATCCAGACAAACTTGCATAGGTGCATAACCATATGCATAAAGAAACAGATTGGTGTATTTCCTTATGCACATGCATGTGGACCAATCAATTATCTTAGGCTTATGTTTATGGGGTTATGCAAGTTTGTGTGGATATAGCTTAAAGGCCAATCCAGACAAACTTGCATAGCGCATAAACATAAGCATAAGGGCCTAAGCAGAATGGCTGTCTTGGCAGTGTTTTATGCCTTAAGTCTTTGTCTTATGTAACGCACAATACTGTATGTATGTATGTACAGCATTGTGCGTTACATAAGACAAAGACTTAAGGCATAAAACACTGCCAAGACAGCCATTCTGCTTAGGGCCTAAGAGAATTGATTGGTCCATATGCATGTGCATAAGGAAATAGACCAATCCGTTTTTTTTATGCATATGGTTATGCACCTACTACTTCCCACGCATAATTAAACTAATGAAACTCCCAGCGTGAGACCTAACTGCTTGAATCGAGATGCTTATTTACATGTACTTTTCATATACCAACTATTCTCTGCTTTAACAAATTATTTCTGTTACAAATATTAAGCGTTTAAGTTAACAAAACATAAATAATTTGTTAAAGCAAAGAATAGTTGGTATATGAAAAGTACACATAAATATTTACTTTTCATATATCAACTATTCTCTGCTTTAACAAATTATTTATGTTACAGATATTAAGTGTTGAAGTTAACGAAACAGAAATAAAATTGTTAAAGCAGAGAATAGTTGGTACATGAAAAGTTCATATTTACATGTACTTTTCATATACCAACTATTCTCTGCTTTAACAAATTATTTCTGTTACAATTATTAAGCGTTTAAGTTAACAAAACATAAATAATTTGTTAAAGCAGAGAATAGTTGGTATGTGAAAAGTACACATAAATATGTACTTACCAAGCAGACAGTTGTCACGTGACCTTCTTTTGCATGCGCGTGCGGCTACGGAGCATGCGCATGTGGCCACAGGGCATGTTCGTGGTCGCTACCAGTCGCTACATTGCGTCGGTATGACAGGTCTCATAACCTGATAGTCGCCAACTTTAACCGTTAATATCTCGCTTCGCGGGGCAGAGCGACACTTTTTTCTGCCAGATTCGGTCGTTTCGTGCAAAAACGCGTCGATTAAGTCCAAGTTGAACGAAATCGGTGAGGAGGCCACTATTCTTCAGATTTACCCCATTCTGAACCATCTTTCAGAACACCATCAGAAATGGAGAAACCTATGTTCATGCATTCTTCGAGCGTTCTACGGAAAATCAGTCCGGAATAGGTGGTTTATAAAGAGGTGTACGAAACGAATAAGATGTATATGTGAGGTGTCACGGCGATAGAACCCGAATGATTGCCGAAATTCGCTTCCATGCTATGCCATCTTAGTGAACCATTGGTTGATCCACCGCCAAGGTATTTTTATCACAATTGTTGCTTTATAATGTTTTTCCTATTTACTTATAAAGATATTAATCTTCATTATGATTGAATATTATTCTCATTTATAGATATAATCAAGGAACCGGGAAGATCATTTGCCGCGTGTCTGGTACATTTGGAAAGGCCGGATGGGCACTACCATCGATGGATATAGAGCATCTATGGACGGTGTGAAGTGGTTCGCGTATTTCTTCTTGGAGGGTCAAGTGTACCCTAAGCTGAAACGATTTGTTCTGTCGCTGCTGACGACACCTGGGAGCATCACCAAGTCATAGGCCAGGTAATTCGTTATTCTATCTCCTTTCGATTTCACGTTGATTCATCGAATAGATTACATCAATTCAATACGATTTTTTCAGGTTGATACCACGCACTTAAGCAATAGTACAAACCCTGCAGTCGTAGGGAGTCGTGTCCAAATACACCTCTATGAAGTTGGCCGGACAACTTCAACGTATCGAACTTTCATTAATTGGAATCGATTGGTGGTCGTTTGGTGGTCTTTGGTAGTCTAGTCCGATCGTTTGGTGGTTAGTCGTTTTCCTGTAAAATAAAAATAAAATTTCCGGTGTGAAGTTAGCCGGACAATTTTTATTTTTCAACCAATTTAACATTTTTATAGCTTATTCGACGCGGAATCGTTTGGTGGTCACGAATATCACCGGTAAAACGTTTGGTGGTCAACCGTTTTCCCAGAAAATAGAAAAAACCGTATGCGCATAATGCCGTAGTCGGAACAATTGTATTTATCACCCAAATTGACTTTGATAGGGCTCAATCGACGCGGAATCATTTGGTGGTCACGAATATCGTCATTAAAACGTTTGGTGGTCAATGGTTTTCCTAAAAAATAAAAAAAACCGTACTCTCACGCCATTGGTCGTATGACTCCGTGACGTTAGCTCGGTAATTTGATAGATAAACATTATTTATCAATCAAATTGACTTTCATACGGCTCAATTGACGCAGAATCGTTTGGTGGTCACGAATATCGTCATTAAAACGTTTGGTGGTCAAT